GTGCGTGGCAACCAATCAGCTTTTCTCTTCAGTTTGTTCAGTTAAGATTTGAAAATGAAAGAGAGAAGCTAATTGGTTGGCATGCACAGCTGCTCCAGATTTTGCCTGCTCCTTTTAGAGCTCCAAGACTAGACTAAAGAAAAATTCAAAAGTTAGGAGGCAGCTGTCATTTGTAAGGAGCACACGGAGCTCCTGGGATTTGTACATCTCTGTTTTATGGCATGATTTTGTTTTTATAAATATAAATAAAGGGATGCACCGATACCAGTTTTGCGAGTACAAGTACTGATACTTGCCCAAGTACTTACAAGTACGAGTACTGACACATTTTTGTTTATTGTCATGAGACAGTTTTTCTAAAACAATATCAACTAATGATTTTAGGACAGCGGTGGAGCGCCAGAGCCAGGTCCCAGCTGCAACCGCTGCAACCCTGGTAGTTCTCATGAAAATGCCAAGTATCGGCACTGGTACTCGAAAAGTATCGGTGCATCCCTAGTAATTAGGAACATGAGGTGTAAAGGGGAAATGTGCCCTTAATTTGACATCACACTCAACCTCAGTCTCATGATATACATCATGTTTGAAAGGCATGTTAAAATCACTGTCCAGCACTGGCAAGCTACTTTTTATATCTTCCTTTTACACAGTATCAGGATCAGCACTGCGGAGAGCGCAAAGATGCAACTTTAAGCCTTGTATTTACTACATATTCTCTTTCCAGGTGGAATGTAATATAAAAATACCATATTATAGCCAATAAATGGAGCTGAGGAGCACAGGGAAAAATCCTGTTCTCTTATGTTCCTCAGCTCCATCTAGTGGCTACAATGCAGTATTTATCTGATATTACATTTAAACCGGAAACAAATATACTGGTAACATTCCTTTTTGCCTGCATTCCCAAAAAACGAATGGTCCTGCAGTTTTACAGGATCAATGGCTTTGAAAATCTTTTGTAAATATACCCCTAAATGTTGAACCCTGTAGGTACACATGACAGCTACACAGCCAGCATTTTCAAAATGCTCTGTACCCACAATTTCATTCACAATAGTTCTTTAGAGCCCAACCTCAGAATAGGAAACTTAGTCAGCTTCCTATCCTCTCCCTAAACCTTTTCTGTATTTTTTTTAAATTTTAAAGTTGCAGCCACATGACCGCCGCTATCCTCCTACCTTCATATTTAGTGCTAGGCTGAATGTGGTGAGAAAAACGGTGCACACACCTCACAGCTGTGGCAAGTTTGAGCCGCTAAGGATTTTAGCTCCCAGCATTTCAAGCACTCTCCTAGGAGCTGGTGCTAAGAGAACAGTGGGACTGCCAGTCACTAATACCAGAAAAACCAATAGTAATGCATAGAGCACCATGACAACACCTCCTGCAGTCAATAGAACTATAGGAGGGGTGGCCATGACTGCCTGGGCAAAGATAAAGTGGCCGGATGATAGCCGGCATCATCCAACCAGGAAGTGGGCTGAATAACATAAACTGGAATCAGCAATCTTTGGGAGGGAGGGGATTGTATAATAATTTCTGCCTTTCCCCTTACTTATCAACTCACATATTACAGCCATAACAAGAGGGTAGAATACATAAGAGGTGAGGCAGCAAAAAACACCTTTGTTTTGTAAGGCTGGCCCGGAACTCTCGGGGTTTTCCTAATAAGAGAGATACGAGTACTGAGATGTGCTGCATTATATCTTAAAGCAGAACTCTGGGGAACATTATATTTAACCCTTGCAGTGGGGCTTGGGAAAAATGTCTTAACCCTTGCTGTAGGGCTACCACTGCACTGCAAATGTTAACTGGTCATTTTTGTCTATGTGCTAAAAAACAAAACAAAAAGCTATACTAACCCGAACTGCCAGAGCTGACTTCCTGCTTCTCTAGTCACTAAAGCGTGTCTCCTCCTCTACTGCACATGTTCCTCAGCATCCTTACGTCCATAAACTTGTATTGGATGTGATGACACAAGGATTAATAGACTGCCTGCAGAAGAGGGGGAAAGAGGCTCTAGGGACCAGTCTAAAAACAAGCCGGCTAGAACGATCGGGTGAGTATAATTTTTTTGTCTTAGCACCTAGACACAAACGAACAGTTAATCCATGCAGTACCCCACTGCAAGGGTTAATAACATTTCCCCCCAGAGTTCTGCTTTAAATGTTCTGGAACTGAATGCAATGGTGTGAACTAGCCATACTTTTTACCATAGAAATTAAAGGGTATACATTTTTGGAACAGACAAAAAATAAAGCGTTCAGGCCTGGAGATGGTGTGAACAAGCCCAGGGACTGATGTGATCGTGCAGTATGTAAAGCTCTGTGTAAATTGTCGTGGGTCTATAAATACCTGTACTAAATAATATAAATAACTCAAATATAGCTGGCTGGGATGATGGGGTGAGAATAATTTTGGGTATACCTATTGGGGACGTGCACAAAGACACGTAAACATGCACATCCATAAAGAGTTTCCTCAGATCCGTAAAAAGCAGATTAGTTGCCAACACATACACACAGCCATAAATCAGAATCCACTGTGTGACAGCATGGTGGCTTAGTGGTTAGCACATTGGCCTTTACAGCACTGGATGTCTCTTTTTCAAATCTCAGTCAGGACACTATCTGCAAGGAGTTTACATATCCTCCTTGTGCTTGTGTGGGTTTCCTACCACAACCCAAAGGCATGCTGGAAGGTTAATTGGCTCCTGTCTAAATCAAAGTTGGACCTGTATGCATGTGAGATAGGGCCTTTAGATTGTAAACTCCTTGAGGACAGGGACTGATGTGAATGTGCAACTATGTAAAGTGCTGTGTAAAACTCTTGGTGCTATACAAATAATACATATTTCACATTGCATAACTTACACAATTGCACTTGTATTGTATAAAAAGGGGATAATTGTCAAACAATAATTGCATCATTGTTATTTTACAAATACTACTGTCAGTTTATCTGAATGAACCTATAATGATTTGTACTGCTAGTATTTCCCATCTGAAAAGGTGGACGCAGTTTGGTCTTTTCCCAGTAGAGGGCGCTCTGCTGCCATGCGCATTGACTTGAATGAGAAGGAAATCAATTTAGTCCGCCCAGCACACACACACACTGCTGTACGCACACACATATACACACACGCAGGATAGAATTTAGTGGGCAAGCCGTGTCCCGCCTCCACACTGTACTGTAGGAAGGCAAGATGAAGGAAGGAAGCATAATAAAAAGAAACTGAATTACACACAGACCTAAACATTCCTTCTGCTTGCTGAATGCAAGACTACTGCACTGGTCTTGTTGCAGCCTGTGCTGGATTCATTGAAAGGGATTTTTTCTGCTTTTTTTTTTTTTTCTAATCTTGTTTCCCTGGCTGTGCAGCATATGTGTGCGTCTTATGCAAGGCATTGAATTAGTGGGAGTGCACACACTGCTGCAAGGGCTTGGATCGGAGGAGAAACATTGCATTTGGGTCCTTCCTGCGACCGCAGGGTTACCTGGGCGGCCGCAGAGGCGTTCGTTTGACAGGGATGCTTTATGTGACATTTGGCCACTTTTACTGATGCATCCAGTGGCCCCTGAGGATTTCACATCCTGCGACCTCGGAATTTGTGGAAGTTCTTTTTCATGGATTCGGATGATCAGGGAAGTCCGACAGCAGAACCATATTTGGGGAAGCGAGTGAGTATATTACATAATTTATCATTACGTATGTTTGCACAAATATCCAGAGAAATCTGTATACACACCACCTAGCCTGGGGAACCAAAGGAGACGGCTATATTGCTGATTTGTTTTCCCTGCACACATTATTCGCTATTACTGCAGTTAATTAGTAAATCATATTTATTTATTTTTATCCCCCCCCCCCC